ACTTGAAAGATCACTTCCCCTGGAGAAAGTGGCTACTTTAGAGAATAGCTTCTATGGTAGTATACCTAATTAATGTCCTTCCCCCACCTTCTCCAGTCTCCGTCCCCCAAATCTCCAGGAATTTACAACACTGAGTTGGCAGCCCTAAGTATGTGCACACACCACAGTTTTCCTTCACAGCTACAGCCTGCCTGGCATGCAGGGGAAGAGTGGGGTTTTTGGGTCACACAAATGGGAAAAGAACTGAGCCTTACTGAGCCCAGTTAAAAGAAAAGGCAAAATTGTTGCCTCCACCAATTCTTTATCACCATTTTACAGTAATTTTAAAATGCTGTGATGTCCCGATCCACTGTTGGACTTGTGGTGCAGAACTCTTTCTCCTTCACCCCAAGTGTTCTCAAGCGCCAAAACAGCTGCATGGGCGCCTGCACACACTGTAAACTGGTCCTGAGTCCACTCGTGAAAGGCAGAAAACAGAGGCTGCTGCTGCTGCCACTCACTCCCTCTGATTCCAACCACCTTTGAACACTCCCCACCCAGGCTAAAAGAAAGCCAAAAAGAAAGCTTCTACCTTAATGTGCTACAGTGCTGCAGATCAGAGGAATCCATGTCTGGCATGAGCTAGCAAACTAAGGTGGGGATAGGGCTGTGTCACGTGCTTCAGAGCACAGCAGGAACTAATATTTTGTGCAAAGGGAAAGCCTGGGAGGGAGGAGGAAAAGAGACTCTCTCCCTCATTGGCAAAGCCTGGGAAGGAGGTGGGAGGAAGGAAAGAAATGCCTCTCTTATTGGCAGAAGACGCGACAGATTTCACAACACCCCCTAGTGCTGACTGAAGGGGCATGACAAATGATTGATGGGGCCTGCCTTTGTGCACCACCATGGCTACAGGCCTGCTCCTGACAAAAAACAAACCACTATGTTTTGACTCAACTGCAGTTTCTGAGCTGTATTCAAGGGCAGTCCCAAATAGAATGTGTGGCAGTAGTCTAAGTGTGAGGTTACCAAGATATGGGTCAGTATGAAAGGGTTGGCTGAATCCTAAGAAGGGAGAATGCTGGCAAAAATATGCTGTGAATATAAGGCACTTTTGATTACTGCACCAATCTGCTTTTTAGAAAGCAAGGCAGGGTCCATAAGATATCCCTAAGGTCTTAACTTGCTCGCAAAACTATCCTCACACGGCACCAAAAGGAGTTGGTCCATTCCCTTCAAAACAGCCTTTTCAACCATCATCATATCCATCTTGTGTGCATTCAACCTGTTTTACAGTTAGAATGTTCAAGTAGAATTGGAGAAATCCATATCTGAGTTCCCATTTAGCCACAGGCTGGCCTTGGGGCAGTCATTTTTTTCTTTCATGCTAACCTGCTTCACAGCATTGCAAAAAGGGGGGGGGCTTCGACATCCATGTACCCCATTCTGAGTTCTTTGGAGGAAGGATGAAATTAAAAAATAATAAAATTAAAAAGCAGACTTTCTCATTGGCTACAATAGGGATCAATCACTTGAACTCAGTTTTGTTCCCATATGAATTTCCGTAATTTAATGACATGATTAATTTACAAGCTGATTTGTCAATGTATAACACTGGTAAAAAGGTAAAGGTAAAGGTTCCCTTGCTCGAAAGCCAGTCGAATCCGACTCTAGGGTTGCGGTGCTCATCTCCGTTTCAAAGCCAAAGAGCATATAACACTGGTACACGTACGTATTTTAAACAGGTTCAGTAGAATATCCAAGTCTTCATCAGTGGAGTTTTCTTTACTGAGCACACCAATTCACATTTTTTGGAAAAATAAACATACTATTTCAGTGAGTTTCTTTCTCTGATTAGATTTTTTTTTGTTCAAATAAATCATCTCTTGAAGAAATAAATTAATAGTGATTTTTTAAAAAACTCCAAAAAATCAATTTAGGGAAACCACAGAAGAGTAATTATTAGGTAACTGAGATATTATTATTTTTTTTATGAATGTTAAAGGAGTGGCATAATAACCACTCAAAGAACCCCCAGGAGGAGAAGATTAGAAACCCCAAAGTTTATGGGTTTCCTCAGTGTCTGATCATTTGTCAACTACTCATATGCCATTATTTATTTTATTTAAACTATAAAAGGAAGTAATGTCTCTGTTTTATGGGCTCATACTCTGGTAAGTGAATGATTCCTAGGTGTTGTGGAAGGTGAAGACAGTAAGAGGGGGGGGAAATCCATTAATATTAGGATGTTTTAGGCATTTCACAGCAAAAGTGTATACCTGGTACCTTCTTTGCTATCCTTTAGGTACCAGATAAAAATGTTTATCTTTTCCCAAATTTGGGGCATTTGGTTCTGATGTGTGTGGGATTGGTTTTTCAACTTGTTTAGTTCCTAGTGTTTTAAATGGTGCTGAATTAATTTTATAGTCAGTCTACTTTATTAAATCTGTTGCCAAAATTTTAACTGTTGCAGTGGTGCTTTAGTGTTGTGTTTGCTGTTGGTTCTACTGCTTTTATTTGGTTATGACTTTTTTTCTTGCACATGGCCTCGAGAACATTACAGTTATGAAGCACTTTCTAAATTAAAGAAATAAAATAGTTTAGAACTAACAAAACCAGGACTATCCATTGAGTCATATTTAGTTAATCATCTGTCTTTTAAATGATTACTTAATTAAATTTAAATAAATGTTCATATTATGAAAACTTCAGGATGGACACTTGTT